CAAAATCTGAAATCACATGGAACTAGGCTGGCTTAGAGTTTCAGTGTAAGTTTAAAACTTAGCTCATTTTTAGAAGGAGCCTACAACATTCATGAACTTTTGAATTAACCTAGATACTGTTTTGAGCAAGCTTGCCCATAGATCTAGTTTGGTGACCAAACTATGTAAAGTATGTCAAACCAGATCACCCAAGCTTTGATGCTTCTTAGTTTTGGTTTGCATTTTGAGTTTCAGACCAAAGCCATGGTTGACAGAATGAACTGTTAGGAATGAGAATAAAGAAAATGCTTATGTGAGGTTCTCCATAAAGAAACCCACAGACTTTTGCACAGTTCTCTATTTTCCCTACAGAACTAAACAGTGCTTTAAGCCTCCCTTCAGAAATAAACTACATCTAAACTCTCCTATCAGAGGGCTTACCCTTGTTAGAGTTTCAAAAAAGATATCCATTCTAAGGAACACATTCCCTATGGTACATTCAGGACTGCTTTATTAAAATACATACATGGCAAATAATGTATGGCATCAATAAAAAGATTTTACAGTGGCAATTAGGATTTGATCCAAAGTCCATTAACATCAATTGGAATGTTTCCATTGATTTCGAGGGAGTTTGAAGTAGGTCCACATGGAAAAAGATGTACACCCATTTCTAGGCCTATCCTAGTCCACCCAGGTGAGGGGAAACCTGCATATCTTTCACACGCCTCCCTTAACTTCTGGGGTCTCACCAATGGATTTTTAATTACCAGTAATGGCCAGACCATTATATTTAAATTGCCAGCCAATTTCTGGTCCATTGTTTCAGATCTGTGGGCTCTGTGAGCAGATGCCGAGGCAGCTGTGCAGCTCACAGCTTCCGTGGCATTTCAACCTCACAGGAGATGTAGCATCGCAAACCATTTAGCTGGCGTCCCCTGCAACCAGGAGCTCTGGTCCGGTAACACTGCAATCCAGGCTGTTGGTGCACAGGAGTGAAAAGCTATCGTTGAAACTCTTCCAAAACCAAACTATATCTTCCATTGTCTCAAAGGAATAATAAACCCTGGCTGGCTGATTGTCGAATATAATAACCATCTAGCTGAATTAGTGGGCATTCCTGGGAATGACTGATTTCTGCTTTTCCCAAACAGCATTTTTTTTTTCCCAAGATAATGGTTCTTCTTAGCTGAAAAACAGGATTTCTCTGTACATAACTACAGGAAAACTAAAGTTAAGAAATTTAGAAACAGTGATATTCAGAATTATACTCCCTGTGTGCTCGAAGTCAAAATAAAATGCTCTTTAGCAAAAATACATGGCTGTTGAGAGCAGTTCCCACCCACACAGTGTCAGGGCCCTGAGGGCATTCACCAGGCCAACTCTCCTTGTCCGGCCTCCCCTGGGGATCCCCCGCCCTGCCCAGGGCCCAGGGCGCCATGTCAGCCCCCAGGACTGTCAGCCCCCGCCGCTGCCGTGCCGCAGCAGGGCTGGTCTCCAGCTCCCCGTAGCTCTGCCCAGCCTGGCCACGACCTGCAGGCCCACGGCTTTGGCCTGTCCCCAGCCCCAGGCTGGTGGCCAGTGCCCAGGGCAGTACACGGTACAGTAAGAATTTTCAAACAAAGATGCCTTCACTGAGGCTGACCATTCATTCACCTGTTGTGTCAGGTCTGTTAGTCCCACTCAGCCTGAACTGGGTGCTTGAAAATCTCACTACTGCATCAACACGCAATCACGCGGCATGTTTGAATCAGTAACATGCGTTTTGTTACTTTAATGTATTTTTCCAGGTAATGGTGGATTGAGGTGTTTTCTGGTTTTAATGAAGTCATCTCTTTGATCTCTTGCGTAGAAACCCAAAGTCTTGATGTCACCGAGCAATCTAACACCTATTTGTGATCCTGACAATGATGATTCACAAGCTAAGGCTCCTGCTATCTCGCCTGCAGATGTTGGCCTAGCAGAGCAAGCACTCCCACCTTCACCAAAGCACAGGCAGAAGCACTTCATTGAAATGTGAAGCAGCTAGACCTTTCACCAAGAATGTCAGACATGTGGGCACAAACCACCTGTTTTCCTGAAGGGACATGTTATCTCAGGTTGCTGCCTTGAAAACAGGCAATGGTGTGGGAAAGGGACAGAAGACTTCTTAATCTCTGTTTCTAATGTTGTTCCATTTTGAATGGAATTGTTAAATATTAAAAGAGTAAAAGATCAAAAGATAGAGAATGACTTTTAGTCTGTTTGTTAGGCCTCTCACGTTTGCAGTTCCAATCCAGTGTAGATGTAGGTATTTTTAGAGAGAAGAGATGCAATGAGAGAGAACAAATAAGCCAAGCACCAAAATGCTGTAGTGGTTAGGACACACTTGTGGGAGTTAGAAACTGTGTAGTTTTGTCCTTTCAGTCAGCAGACTGACTTCTATTTCCATTTCCCACATGATCAGTGATACCTCCATCACCAGATGATTGATCGGGCAAGAGTCTTCTGATAGATCCAGGAGATGGGTCTAGGAACCCTGTGGCTGGAAGCCCCAACCAGAGATAGGTATGAAGACATTGTGCCAGCGTCATCTCTCTCCTTGCCACTTCCTAATGACTAGGTTAAGTGGCTCACTACTCGGCCAATTATTTGTGGACCTTCACTGTCTAAATTAGCTCTGCTAATGTATTTCACTTGAAATGTATGGCCTTCCCTGAGAATTCTGAACTTCACTAGCCAGTACAGCATCAATTGTTAGAAATTGCAACAGAGACACCAAATGGCCTTTGTGGGCCTAGTTCTCAGCTATACTGTGGGTTCCAGTTGAAAGAACTCTGCCGAATACAGGAAATTGAGACAAACATTTCAAAGAGAAACTGTGCGCTGGATTCTCTAATTACTTTCTACTTTTCCAAATTAACTGTAAAATGCAAGAAACATCCACTTTGCAGAGGTAAAAATAGCTATGCAAGATGCAAAGCTGGTCAAAAAAAGGGTCTACTTGGATTAAAAGAGTAATAAATATAGCTAGGTAGGCAATGAAACTGGTTTTGAGGTTAAGCAAAAGTCCTTAAAACACTCATTATGATAAGATTAAGATGTCCAAGTGCCTGCTTGTGCTGCTTAGGGTTCTAAACTGTGGTAAGGATACTTGGGAAAAACATCTGCTGAGGAAGTAGATGTGTTCCTGTTCTGTGTCTTGCAGCTTTTTAAAATGAAGTGTATGCCTCACCTGTGTCCTCACCACTGCCTTTCCGTGACTTTGCAGCCTCAGGAACAGTTCCAGTGTGAATCAAAGACTGTGACCCTTCCCTGAAGTTGCTGCTTCCACTGCTTGCCTGCTTCATTTCAGGTAGATGAGGAAGAAGAGCACTAGCTGTTCTTTCCTGCTCCCTGAGGTTCTGCAGAAGTAGCTTAGGGAAGAGAAGACTGGAGTTTGTCAGGCTCTGCCTAGACCTATAGGCAAAAGAAGTCATTTATTCCCTGCAACAGTTATCACCAAGGATGAGACAAAAGATGTTTGTTTTTTATCTTCCTCTGTTTGTCCTTGGACTTAGCCTTAACTGGCAGCTGCTGTATTGGCACTAGTTGGGTATAAGGTTCCATAAAGCAGAAGGGATAATTTAGGTTTATCAAACTGCAGACATTCCCCTTTATCCCTTCCAACAGCCAAATCAGGCTCTTTGGCCAGGATCTTCATGAAAGAAGTGTAAAACATGACTAGTCTGAATTATTGCTGCAGGGGACTTGCATTTCACTGGGGGAATCCCCTTCAGAGAACATGCGGGTAATTTCCACTATGTACAAGGCTGACAATCTGCTTCAGACTGATTGTGGTCCCTTGCGTCCCTGAAATATATTTGGTCATTCGTATTGAAAGGACTGAAGAAGCCTGCTGTAGGGGGTTTGGTTTGCTGTGGTGGATGCACTAGCCTACTCCTTAAGCATTCATTAATCATGCATTAACCCTAGAGGACATAAGCCCACATTCTTCTGGAGCCTTAACTTTATTAAAAGGGAACATAAGTGCTCATGACTTCTCCTTCTGTGTAAAGATGTAACTTTGCCTACAGAACCACCAGATATCCTCAGAATTTTACCCATCTTTAATCAGAAAACCAAGCTCTGATCCTGTGAATTTAGATGTTATGAAAACAACAGAAAATAATAGGAATGCGGAGGTGCTGAAGACCATGTGGAGATAACACCTAAAAAAAACCCCAATTTTATTTCCTAATGTATCTTCACTTTTCAACATTCTTTCCCACTTAAGGTGATGAGTTAAGACAAGCAATGCAGGGAATTCTTCCGGTTACAGCTCACTGCATTACAATAGCTTTGGAAATAAAGATTTTTCCCTTCAGTACATACAAGATGAGATTTTTTAAAGCAGTGGCTTAGTCTAGGATTCAGTTGTCAATTATTTCTGTGTAGAAACTATCAGAGAATTATCCTGTGCAATTATCTTAAGTTAGGCTCTAAATCATCACATAGAAACAAACCTCTATTCCGGACACTAAGCAGTGATTTATTCTCTATCTTAAAGAAAAAAGCCGGGCTTTCATGAAGGACACGGAAGCAAGTATATTCTTCCCTCCCACTCATCCCTAATAAGTTTTATCTTTATTCTTTACAATCCTGGATAGCAAAGTGGCTGAGAGCTGTCAGGATCTCTGATGCCACATGGTTATTGTCCCAGTTGTTTCTTCTGGTTCCAGTTGAATGACAGTGGGAGCTGTTCTGCTTCTGAGCAAAGGGGAGGAGGAGGAGCTGCAAATTCTTAGCTTTTTAGGTTAGAGTGAAAGATACCTTAAAAGTTGTTTGCCTCACAACTTACAACTCTTTTTATATTTAATGGCTTGAAAAGATTAGGGTGAATAAATTCTAATGATTTGGGGGTTTACACTACCGTCAAGCAAATAAAGAAGACAGGCTAGTAATAACTTGTCTCTCTGCCCACACAATCATTTTACTTCAGAATGCCATGAAAATACTTTAAACAGGTGTCTGTCAAGGCACTATTTGAATAATAGGCTTACCTGGTGTTCAGGATTCAGTCATGTTTTCCTTGATATGGGATGTCCTTTTTAAAGGGATGAGGACATACGCAATTAGCTGAAAATGCTAATGAAATTTCTGCTGCAGATACCTTCCTCGCTACTCCACTTCATTCTACATGCTGATAGAGGAAAAACAAAATGATGAATCCTGATCTCTGAATCACTCAAATGCTGTATTTTCAGACACAGCTGGTGCTTTAGAGATCAGGGTACCTGTGAATTTCAGTTTACATTTGCCAACATACAGAGTGGGATTCATCCAAGTGGCAACAAAAGCAAAGCAAGACTGTAGGAAAAAAAATTAAATTAGATGCAGTGTGAGAATAAACTATCTACAAGTGGGAGAAGGAGTATTATCAGAGAGAGAAAAAGAAGAGAGGACAGGCCGCATCTTCTGGACTATCCTTATGGCTTTGTGCGATCACAATAGTATAAGGAAAGCCAGCTACGGGAGAGGAATCCTGTAAAAGCATAAAGCTACTACAGAGACTCATGCCATTCTGTGTCCACGCCTCAGCTCAGGATGGAGGGCATGACTGTGAAAGAGAGGGCCTGCTGCTGAGAGCTGCCTGCTATCTGCTCTCCAAACAGCCCCCTGGGGCCCAAGACTCAGCAGGGAAGAAATGTGGGGAATGACACAAGCTGGGATAGCTCTTGTGGAGCTGAAAAGTGGAATCAGGTAAAGAATGAATAAAGGCACCTTTGTCCCCATTGCTCCAATCCTCTGCTGATAATAGTTCAGATGGATTAAATGATCTGGTTCATTAGGATTTGGTTTAAAGAGACTGATGGAACAACAGGGCATGCCACGGACAACTGAATGTTTTCATCTCACTTTCTAATATAAAATATTAAAGTTTTGAAAGTGAGGTATGCTATCACAAGAGATACTGTTAAGTTCTTAGCTGTATCACCATTGAGATAATTTCTCATAATTTTGTCCAGCTCAGAAAACCAATCCCTTTTTATCAGTTAAAACTTGACAACAATACTAATTTAACAACTTAAATAACAATATTAAAATGACAAGTCCTTTTAAATGGGAATTCCTAAATAGAAATACAGAAGAAATCTCAGTTGCATTTTCCTATTTCTTATTTTGACATGTTACAATAACTTATAATTTCCCTTTTTTTTAACTGAAATGAGTAAAACTTGACATAAATGAGATCTCAGTACAGCTAAATAAAGCTAAAAATTTAAATTGATCCAATACTTCTTTAAATTAAGCACTCTTAAATGGAAAATTGGCTCAGGTTTCTCCAATTTCATGGATTTTGATTGACATATCTGTCCTTATAACAGACACTCTAAATCAAGAGGCCTTAACAGAAGTGTCCTTAACTATAACAGTCTTAAAACGTGATTGTCCATGCCAGGTGAGCTGAACTCTGGTGTGTCACTCCAAGGAAGCTGCAAGTTTCTGTGAGAGTAAAGAACTCAGGTTGTTTTGGATACGTCCAGTGTTGTAACTAATGTCAGCTTTTAGAAACCAGAGAAAACTAAGCAGAGAGGAAAAAAGAAAAGAAGTGTGATGTGTGTGCCTTAGCACTCCAGCATGGGTGAAACGTAACACTGGAGTATTGCCACTCACTTCAAAAGGGCCAGGATTTCACTCTATATGATTCAAACTTACAAAAGTCTTCCAAAGGATTTTCAATACAATATTATGCAATCTTTAACATCTGAGGGCCAAACACGTAATTTTGAAAGGTCAAAAGGATAAACCTGGGAGCAGTTGACTACCCTGCCCTAGTCTCTTTACACTCCATAGGTAGGGCTCATTCAAAACATCCACTTTTCAAATCACAGGGCACACCTCAGTGTGCATGTTCTATTCATAAAGCAGTACAAACCTTCTCCCTAGTTCAGTCGTCCTCAATTTAGGCCCTACCATTTAGGGCTTTGGGCCAGAGGTTACACACCAAAAGAAAAATCAGGGCCTGACTCTCAATGACTCAAACCCTTCACTTGGTGCTGGAACACTTCAGCACTCCCTTGATTTTTTTGGCACCAGGAATTTATGACCCAGATTCTGGGACACTGTATGGCCCCATCCTACCCCTGTCTGAATTAGGCTATTCACTGAGCTACTCTCTCTGTGCTTCCTGCAGATCCCAGCAGAAAAGACGAACTATATTGAAGCACACCGAACTGTCACTGAAGTGAAGTCCTGACACGGGGTGAGGAGTTTCAATAGACAGGGTACTTGAACAGGAAATTTATGCCTCCTTTAAGGCACCTTTAAACAATTGGAGCAACATTAAGGAAATATGGTAGAAGACTCATTTAGAAGTGAATTTCATCACTTCCTGGATGGTTTTTAGGAGGTCTGTTTTGGAATGACTGAAAAGAGGAGGCATGATTCTAAGTGATTTTAGAAAAAAGGACCATGATGTCAAGAGCATACAATGCAGGCAGCAGACTTTCAGTGTGATGAGAAGCATTACTTGCAGGAGATTTGCATTCTTTAAAGGATTTTTACACATCATATTCTGTTAATTACTTAGTCATTAGTCCTTGTGAGAAGTCATTACATGCTAGCAGATAGAAACCCACCTAACTGGCATTAGGAGCTTTTCTCCATGAGTTCATCGGAAACAGGAAAATATCTTGTAAACACGCACAAAATGGGAAGAACTAGCTGACTGCAGTATTTTTAAGTTTAGGTGAAAATGTCACTGGGATTATTTAACAAAGAAATAGGAAGAGACAATAAGTTATTTCAAAACAATCACTCAACAAAGAAAGAGGATTAATTTTATGCGCAGGGAAACTGCAAAAATCACTTCTGTTGTCTGGATACAACGTGACAGTGGGTGCCAGTAACGTTTCTAATCCTTAAATATCTCAGCAGTACTACAAGTTCCCAATTTCTGTATGTTTGGTAGCACGGACTCCACCTACACCATAACTATGAGTCAGAAAAAGTACAATACTTCACAGCTCAAGCACGGAGAAACTTTTCCTTGTACATGTGGAATGGCGAGAACACATTTTCTTTTTTAATTCCCTTTAGTAGTTAAAAGGGGGAACACATTTTGACTTACCATTATCCCTTTACCCTTGGCCGTTAGATTTCTCTGTTAGACAAAGGTTTGAGTTGAATGTAGCTAAGCATAAATTGCAGGTTATGTAAAGATTAAAGCAGCAGGGTCAGCACAGGGACAGAAGAATCTCAGTCAGGCCAACACAGCCAGTGACCTGACAGCCAGTTCTGTTAGAGGTTTGTTTTGTTCCAGGTTAATATTATTCATGCTAAATGTGTAACATTTTAAGTGTGGCTCTGCCTTGGCCTCTCCCATTCTTTATTGCCATGCTTGCCACCGAGGTAATGCCTACTGGCGTGGGAGGCAAGATTCTTTTGCCCGACTACAACCACGCCACAGCACCCATCTCCAGCTGGGATGCTGGATCACCCGGCGGCGTCGGTGGCCTGGCCGGGGGCTCGTTGTGCCATCGGGCCGTGCGAAAGCGACACAGCAGCTGTGTGGTCGAAAACTATCCCGATAAACACCAAAGCGTGACCATCAAGTGCCAGCCTCGGCCCCCCTCCCCGCGCTGGTGGGGGCACCGTGAGCCCTCCCCGCCAGGTATAACGCGGCTCTGCCCGCCCGGCCGCCGCGGCTCCACGGAGACAAAGGCCGCGGGGAGGTGCGGGCAGCGGGCCGGCATGACCGCGGGTGGGGGGGGGGGGGGGTGGGAGGCGGGGGAAGAGGGGGTGACCGGCGGAAGGAACAAAGAAGCAGAAAAAGGCGAGAAGAGCAAAGAAAGTTGACACCGGCCCCGCGCGCCGCCGCCGCCGCCCCCCTGCCCTGCCCGGCCCCCCCCCCCAGACTTTCGCGGGGGGCCTGCGGCCCAACTGGGCGCATGCGGCGGCGTGGGGCCGCGGGCGGGAAGGGGAGAGGGCCGGGGCTCCTCGCTGACCCCAGCCCCTCACGTCTCCTGCTTCCTACTCGGCCCCGCTGACCCCGCCCCCCCCCCCCGCCTTGCGCTTCCCTTTAACGCGCGCTCCCGCCGGCGGCTCTTCCCCCTCCTCCCACCCCGGCCCGGCCCGGCGGCGCGCGGCCTCCAACGACCCCCGCGGGCGCGCGCTCGCGCCCCGTTCCCCCGCCTGCCACTTTCTCCGCCCACCCCCTCGCCGAAAGCGCGCGCGCGCGCCCGCCCGCCCGCCCGCCCCTCCCTCGGCGAACCGCCAGCGCCGGGGCTAATTGGTTGCAGGGCGCGCGCGCGGCGCTGACCGGGCGGGCGCGCGCGCGCGGAGGCGGCGGCGGCGCGCGCGCGCGGCGGCGGCTTCACTTCTCCTCGGGCAGCGGCGGCGGGAGCGGCGGCGGCCGCTCGGTGTGGGGGGGGGTGGGGGGGCAGCGGAGAGAAAGAGCGGGGCGAGGAGCGCGGGGGAGCGGGCTCATGACTCAGTGAGCGGCCGCAGCCCCTTCCCTAGCCCCGCGCCCGGCCGGAGTCGGGGCGACCGCGTCGGATTGTCCCGCAGAGCCTGTGCCCGGCGCCAGCGAGAGAAGAGGGAGCTGCGCTCGCCCGCAGGTAGCGGCGGTTGTTCCCCTCACCCGTCCCTCCCGGGGTACACCTTTGCGCTGGTTTAGGACCCCGGCTGCCTCCCCTCCCCCCGCCAGGTTCCTATCCTCCCGGTCCCTCGCCATCTCCCCCCTCACGGCAGCGCCCCCCCCCCCCCCCCCCCCCTTTTAACTGCGACCCTCGGTCTCTACGTTTATCTTTCATCTCCCCTCCCCCCTCCGCACCCCCCCGGCACCACCTGGTACTCGCTTCCCCCGCTTGTCATCCCCGGCCGTGCCCTTTCCTAGCAGCGGTCCCGGCCGCCCGCCCCCCGCCCCCCCGGCGTCTCTGCCACCGCTCCCCCCCGCCTCCATCCATCCTCTGGTCGTTGCTCCGGCCTCCATTGCTCCTCCGCACCCCCACACCCCTTCAACAACTCTTCCGTGTCCATTTGTCCTGCTTGCGCCGCTGCGGGCAGGAGCAGCGCCCACCCCCGCCCCCTCCCTCCACCCCCCCCCGGTTCCGCTCCGCACCCATTGCGTGGTCCCCGCGGCACTCGCTGTCCCCCTGGGTCGCTCCGGCGCCGGGGTGCCCCCTCCCCACCCCCCTCGTGACCGATCATCCTGGGGTACACCACCCCCACGCCCCCCCCCCCCCCCCCGCCACAGCGGTAGGTTGCCCGGGCTGGAGCCCCTCGGGAGGGACACTAACCCCACACCCCCCACACCCCCGCCCCGGAGCGCCCCGAGGAGCCCTGCAGCCCAGCCCCCTCCCTTCCTTCATGTGCCCCCGACGTCTTCCTCTCGCAGTCTCCTCCTCCTCCTCCTCTCCCCGGCTGTCTCCTACTTCTCATCCCGGCCCGGCCGCCGCCTGCCAGACCAGGGGGGTGCGGGGTGCGTGTGGCGTTGGGGGGTGCCCATCCATCCCCCCCCCCCCTCCCGGTAGGGCCCGATGCCGCACGCTGGGTCTCCTCGACGGGGAGGCGGGGGGCGGGGTGCGTGTGGAGGTGGGCGAGTCGCGTGTGTGCCCACGCGCGGTGGTGGGGCCGTGGGAGCCCGGGGCTGCCGTCCCGTCCCTCCCGGTTCCCCCCTCAGAGGCGGACCCTGCGTAGCCAGAAACTGGGCTCCTTCTGCGTCCCCTCCCGCGATGTTTTGGTCCTTTTGCCCTTTACGGTTTCTAATGAAGATGAAGTAAGGCGGCTGCTGCTGTTGCTGTTCTTCGTGGACCCTGCAGAAATATTCAATTTATCTTGATTTATAGGAAATTAAGACCGCCTTAGAAAGACATCATCACTAGTACTGCCTGCCCTAGGGACCTATCTGCACATTGCCAGGATCTCTCTGTCCCTGACTGCTAGATTATTTTTAATTTTTTGGAGGGGTGGGGGTGTGGGATGGTGGTGGAGATTGTCTTTTTTTTTGTTGTGGTTTGTTTTCATATATTTATTTATTTATTTATTTATTTCCTTTTGAAGAGGGAGGGGAAGGTGGCAGTGGATATATATGACAGAAGCAGGATCTTTTGGACACTCTTCACTTAGAATTGATGGCTGTAGTTACACTTGTAATCTGTGTCTCTGCTGAATCATCTCATGTTAAGGAAGAGATTTTTAAGTCTCCTTTCACTCCTTCCTCTGTCCCCTCTGCTCATTTTTCTCAGCACAACAGCAGGGAGGTTAGCAACCCTCATCTGAATGTAGAATAGACTGGCAGCTGGGGACTTGGACATCGTGTGTCTTTCCTCTCGCACCGTGTGACAGTTGCAAACACATTCATGGCTGTCCAGATTCAAGGAGTATCTTGTATTTCTCTGTCTGTGTTCATGACAGTGAAATGTTTTCCTAACAGTGTCATCCCCTCTGTTGATTTTTTTTTTTTTTTTTCCCATTCTCTTATTTGCTCATGTGTGGGTTTGTCTTTTAAGTTTGACCACACTTGAAGTGTCTAACTTCAGGACCTTTAAAACACACTTTTACTGTGATACTGAGCATCCCTTGGAACTATGCGAAATTTCTAAAATTGCAGATCTCGTGGGGGGAAAGGGCATTGAAAGAACTGCCTGGATGTCAGAAAGGGGAACAGAGAGAAGGGGAGTGGAAAAAAAACCTAAGAGACTAGCCAGACATCAAATGACAGATTTAAGCATTTTCCTGTTGTAAATCCTGGCATTACATGTTACAGTAATTATATGCTCTGGGCTACTGTTACAGTGTTTGTCTGCTGGATAGTAACCTGAATTTATTAAGTGAATACAGTTGTTTTGGGATAATAGTAATATTTATATCCAAGATTATTCACAGCAGATGTCCTATGCATATAGGCTTTGTTAAATATGCTTTTAACTTTCAGGCCTACGGTGTTAAAAGCCTATGTACATTGTGAAGAGAATTTTTCGCTTTAAAATTAGATCTATTAAGGAAAGATCAGAACTAAAATCTAGAGCAAATAAAGGCCATCGAAAGTGTTATTAAAAAAAATGAGATTGTATTTTAGCTGTATGTAGAAGCAAAGAAGATGGATACCTACCATTGAAATTACATTATAGGTATTAAATGCATATTTTGACTTGACAGAATAAGATACTTCTGCTTTTTGTTACCTCAATATCTTCTGTTGCTTTTATCTTAAAATCTGACAACCAGGATGTAAATATCTAAGCACTAACCTGTGTAAAGATATCAGTGATGTTAAATATAATGTAGCTGTACCACAGGAAAAATTGTTCTATAAGAATGAACAATTTTTGAATTTTAATTTTAGGATGCAAACTATGCATTATTTCAGTTACTTCAATGAGCAGGGTAGGTGTTGTGTATATAAATTTATATATGAAAATATATTTATAAAATCCAAAATATAGCTTAAGCTGATTAACCTAGTCCCATTCCCATCACTTGCTATTACTTGCTATTTCTTTTAGCATCTAAACATTTTGAAGGAATGCCATACTTCCAGATTTCCCTTTCAGTATAGCTTCATAAATTAGACAAAAAAAGATCTAATTCCTCCTGAAGATAGTTGTGTTGTGTCAATAATGCCTGAAAATATTAGTTCTTCCACTCCACAGTGTGTACTATTGGATAAAATTAGATCTCGGTAAGGCTTTTGCAGGAGAGGAATAAATCTATTTCCTTACATGCAGCTATAACTGTAACAGTTATGACCTTTTTAAAAAGCATCCTTTTCAACATAACCCTGTTGGCATTGATGTTACTTTACTTTTCCTTTACTGGCTCTTTCCATATATATGTGCAGGGAGATGAACTTTGTTTAATCCACTGAATGAGCACGGTTGAATCTGAGCCTGTGATCTCATTGTTCCCCCTTGAGAGAGTATTAAAACATGTAGTAGTCCAGGTGAATACTTTTGTTCTTAATTGTGATGGGGTCTGTACACTGGTAAAAGGAAAAGCAAGTCAAAGTTCACAGCAATTTAAAACTCTTTGTGTATGAAAGAGCAATTTCTTGATTCAGACAGATTTGATCAGAAAACCACCCAGATATATGGGGGTTGCGTGGGTGTAAGCAAGTAACATTTGGGCCTGTGTGCTTTGAAGGTGGTTCTTTTATTAAAATCTCTAAAGGAGGATATATATATATATAATGTGTATATAAACTACAGGTTTAGAGTTAAAGGAAATACCTTGTGGGTCCTCTGTTTGTTTGTTTTGGTTTTTTTTTTTTTTTTTTTGATTGTTTTGTGTGTGTGTGTGTGTATATGTAAAATTTTCTAACAGTCATTGCCACCACATATGCTAATTCAGTAAGAGTTTTTAATGGACATCTGCCCTTCATTAGAACAGTTTGAGAAGTCATGACAGGTGGGCCTGTAATTCCTCACGTGTCATCATATTGTTATCTTATTTAAAGTGAAGGAAGAAATTAAAATAGCTAACTAATACCAGAATTGTTCAAATAAAGCATTAATTTGACTTCTGAAATATACTGAGATTTCTTGTCACTTGTGTTCTCTGACAACTTTGTTGCCTCGTGTTGCCTGAACAGAATTGGTCAGGAAAAAACTTCCTTCTATCCTCTACCAGCATGCTTACCACTCTAGAAGTGTACCATTTTAGTAAATACAAACAATCCCGTGTCAGTGCTTTTTGGTTCTGTGAATGTTTCCATCGAGCATGCTGAGATGTGGATTTTGTAATGTGGAAACCCACATTATAGACTTGGAATAAGACTACAGATTTATTTCATATGGGATAACAGAGAGTCTTAGGATAATAACAGCTCTCATTTTTTAATGAACCAGGCTAGATTTGAACTGGTGGCGTAGTGAAGAGGAACTCATGATATTGCTGAGCAGTTGAAAAATATCGTTCAGAGTGAGTGGTATTATACTTGCAGAATTATGTTTCCTTCTTAACTACAATAAATTATGCTTTTCATATATATATGTGTTTATTATTTATTTGGTACAGGGTTTAAAATAACCAACTCCTGAATTATTGTTAAGGTGCTTATGGCAAAACAGTTAAGTACTGAGATTACCAAAGTCTCTAACACAAGCATTATATATTAAGACAAGGACATAAATCTCATGTGTTACATCCTTAAGGCATGTAAGAAGTACTATTGGGCAGTTTCTTCTGAAAAAGCTCACTTTTATTGTTTATTTTTTTTTTATCTCTTGTTCAGTGCAGCATCTGCCATGTCTACAGAAGGGCAGAGAGTTGATGATAGTCCAAGCACTAGTGGAGGCAGCTCTGATGGAGATCAGCGTGAAGGTGTTCAGCAGGAACAAGAAAGGGAACAAGTTCAACCCAAGAAGAAGGAGGGCAAAATATCAAGCAAAACAGCTGCTAAACTGTCAACTAGTGCTAAAAGGTACAGTGTTCTTTCCGTCTGTTTATTTTCCTTTATATTTTTTCAGGAGACCATCAGACACATGTATTGACTCAGTATATTAATTTTCTTATTGTTTTATTATAATACTACTATGTCAATGTAATAGCCTTTGGAGACTGGTCACAATAATGAGACTTGTATACTTTTTTCCTTTCTTTGACAGATTGGCTCTTTCACATGTTTTTAATAGTAGCTTGCATGATAAAAGCTAACATTTTTTTTTATTGCTAGTAAAACTCAGACAGTTTTGTAGCCTTATAAAATATATCTCTGTATGTGTACGTATGACTGATGTTGAAACTTGTAAGTGTAACTAACAGTTAATTAACCATAAACATTTCAGACAGTTCAGTAACTCATCATGTTAGGACTAACATAATGCTTATTGCTGTAAAGTACTGTGTTTCCTTTTTCCTGATGGTCGGGTCAAAAATATTTGAGTGAACAACAAATGCATGTTGGTTTCATTACTTTAAACTGTGGTCTGTTTTAATATGCATTTCTTTTCCTTCTCTTTTTCTATTTGAGAGGAGAGGTAGGTTTGTAGAATAGGTATTTAAATTATTCTATGTGATCTTGTCAATCTCCAGATAATGATTGACTTGCTTGGATCGGGCGGAAGGAATTTACATCTTAGTGTTGCTCCATTAGTACATGTAGGGGTGTTAGTCTAGGCAACAGAATTCAAATGGGATTATAATGATTGAAGTTAAAAACCACTTTTGAAATAATCTGAAGAGAGA